GAAATCTACATGTTTAAATTCTTAGTAGCGATATCAATAGAAAAAAAATAATCTCACACATTATCAAAACAGAGTACAAAAAAAAAAGAAGAGAAAATAATAATCTTGATGTTCACTCCTTTTTTCTTTCTATATAAGATACAACATCAGTTTTGTATGTTCTAAACAGTCATAAGAATGAATAATACTGACATTGAACTATTCGAAAACAAAAAGTTTCTACTTCATCGTGTTAAATTTTCAATATTACTTTCACTACAAATTCCAGCCATTGCACTCTCTCTTCTCATATTCATCTTTTTTATTAAACATCGTACTGATCTTCGTGCTCCACATAATCAAGCTTTATTTATCTTGCTTTTGGTGAATTTCATCCAATTGTCATTTGCTTTACCACTGTCACTTCATTTCTATCAACTTAGTTATGTCAATCCAGCAACATCAACTTTCTGTACATGGTGGACTTTCTTTGAATTTACTCTCTATGTAACAAGTGAATATTTAATGGCAACAATTTCTGTTCAACGACACATGCTCATTTTTCATGGACATTTTCTACGAATCTCTTGGATGCGTATTGTTCTACATAATTTACCACTTCTTCTTTGTCTTATTTATCCTATGATGTTTTATTTTTTTGCTATTATTCTTTATCCATGTGATGGCACACAATGGGATTACACTAGTAATTTGTGTGGTTTTGCTGATTGTTATCTTCTTTTTAACAAAATACTCGGCACATTTGATTGGTCATTCAACAATGGATTACCTATGGTTGTAAATGCATTAGCCAATATAGCTTTAATTGTACGAGTAGTTCGACAAAAGCGTCGTTTTCAACACGCATTGACATGGCGACAACATCGGCGTATGACAGTGCAATTACTTGCGATTTCGAGTCTGTATATCATTGCTTGGGCACCATCTCTTATTGTAGGACTTGTACAAATACTTGGCTATCCAACATTTCTTGCACAAATTCAAACAGATTTCTTTCTCGATCTCATCTATATTGTATGTCTTTTTCTTCCATGGGTATATCTAAGTTTGCTTCCGGAATTAATCAAATGGATCAAAGAATTGTTTCGTTATGGACAAGGACGTAATTTAGTTGGACCAACACGAACTATTCAATTGGAAACAAGATTATGAATGACAATGCTTCGACGTGATTTAATATTAATTATAAAATTCTGTCTAATGATAGAAATATCCCACCTCTAGTTGAATTTTATTCGTCGCTTTTGTTGCCTTCTACTAATAGTCAATTACTTTATCGTTGTTCTTGTGTTCTGTTCATTCATTAGATCATGTCTTGTTCATTTGATCCTTATGTACCAATAAAATGACATACCAGCCATTAATTACTAGCTCTTCTTTAAAGACTCTTCCTTCTGTAAACAACCTGTTTCTTAAAACAACAGTTTTTAGTTATAAAGACGAGTTTTTATTGGTATATTGAATAAAAAATAAACTATCATTATTCTGTCTATTATGATAAAGAAATAAATTTTTCATGTGATCCATTCCACATTCTAAAATACTTTGCTTACTTTTCTTCGATATTTGAGAAAAAATATGTTTTAAATCAAATGTATCCGTGAGTGTCGTATAGGTGTGTGTGGTTCATCACTTCAACCGTAACAACCATACTCACGCTCATACCTTACCTTTACTATCATCAAGATCGACAAATCTCAATCTTAAATTGTCAAAGTAACGAGTTTTCGTCGTAAATCATGTAATTGCAGTCGAGAACCTTCTTCCACATAATAATATCCAAGAGCTTCCTTATCGTTGTCAAGTACATCTCTATTTTGAATGTAGATAAGATCGATTTTTTTTGCTAAATCATATCAATTACCTGTCTTTTCACCAAGAAATGATTTGAGTTGTTGAACTGTAGTTGAATATTCTACATCAAATTGGTATGTTCGTTCCATTTCAACAAGTATTTCAGTTATATATTTTCATGGCAAGTCAATGAAAAACAGAAACAATTAGAGTATATTCGAAAATAAATTGATGAACATTAGCCAATTAACTCATTTATGACTCAGAATAATATCGAGAAATTTCACATTTTTTTTCTATTCGTGCAGTAGTCGATGATAAGTTTCAAATGAATGAAACACAAAAATCTGAAAAGAATTGAAATAGATTGCACTAAAAAATGGGTGTGAGCGTGAGCGAAGAGAAGATCGACACCTCACCCCCTACTTCTTCAACAAACGCTTTCAATCGTTTCGATCATGAACCTCTCCTCTTTCCAATATATCCTGAACTCAGCAAAACCGGACGACCTCGCTTGAACAGCTCGCCAGACAGATGGTCGTGGTCTATTTGAAGTGTTGTAGTGATAGCAAGTGATATCTATAATTTAATAGTTTCATTGAACATATTAGTATTACAATCTAATATTCACGATGAAGGCATTTTTCGTTTCACGACAGATTTGTTAATTCATGTCTAAATTAGAACGTTCAAAGTTTTCTTTAAGATTGCCATCGACAGTATCTCTTACAAAATGAAAAGGAATATTTAAATTTGTAATGAAATTATAGTGTTGTCACGAATTATCTGTCTATCATTTGTTCATGTAACAAGTTGTCTGATCATCAAATCATACAATATGGTTGAGACCCTCTAGGAAGAGTAGCCAATGTTGTATAGGCTCATCTTCTAGATATTTTTAAAAACAACTACAGTGATCGAAAAACCGATTATCCAGGGATTGAAATTAAAGTGAAAATGTGCGGCATGATGTTATTCTTTAAAATCAAACGAAAAAAAAATAGCATGACATATTATGCGCAGCCAAAGTATACTGTTTCGTCTGCCTTTTTATTATAACTGAGACAGACTTCTGCATTAGGTTATATCGACATAGAGCTTTCCGGCACCTCCTCCAGTTTTAAAATACCAAAATGAAATTCTATAAATATTGCCAACTATTGCCGGAAATGATTGACCGAGAAAGTCATAACCAGTCTGACAATGGTCCTTGTAACAGTTACTGCCAGAACTGACTTGGCAGGCAGAAGTAGTGATTTGCCCCCCATCGTCATCGCCGGCACAGGTGGATGTGCACCACATAATCCAGCCAGTCGGCTCTGATGTTGACATTTCAAAGCTCGGATTATCAAGTAACTGAACAGTAGGTTGACTGATGTCAACAACAGAGGCACCATCCAAATAAACAGTCTCCACTGCTTCCCCACCGTTAACGGCAAATTGAAGTACAGGTGCCGATTTTGTCGCTGTATAATTCTTCGAATAGTAAGTCCACCCATTTGATCCACTCGCACTCAGCAAAGAGCCAAGGCCTGTCCCACTGCACGATGTTGCTAAGAAAGAATCGATACATACAAGACACTTGAAAACACAGTCACTCACTTGTCGTCATCCCTGTGGTGGTGATGGTAGTCGTCTTTGTCGCCGTCACTGTAGTAGTACTTGTTTCTGTTGTAGGTGCTATTAACAAGTAATTAAATGAGAACTTCTGCAGATTCTTGAGAAAGAAAATTGCCGCATGGACCGTATTGTTTTCCAAACAGACTTACACTAGTTGTACAAAACCTCACTATACAATTCTCTAGAAAATGATATACTCTACTCAACGAATACGTTCTTTCCGTTCTGTAAAAGATCATATAATTAATGTTAAAATAGTGTACAACTTTCAAAATTTTTCATTTATCAGTTATTTAATCCTTTGATTGTCGACATAAGAGAGAGAAAGAAGCTCTTTAGAATACCATTGTAACTCATTATTTTTCATTCTATTAGACAGATTTATATGAGATAACGTTAAATCTTCTGTAAGATATTGAAATCTTTGAAACAGTCAGTAATGTACAGTTCAATATCACATTCACTACACTGGTAGTGTGCATTGCTTCGTTCATTCGCACGTTGCTTAATATTACTGCAAACATAAAAGTTTCTTCAAGAAGTCTGCCACTTTATGGCTCTTTGAAGAAAATCCGAAAACGTCATTTGCATAGTGGATTTGTCTACAATATAGCTATTAGAAATGGAATATATGGTATAGACTACTTTTTTGGTGCAATATTCCTTGAAATTGTGAAAAATCAGAACGATTTCGCTTCATAGTGCCAGAGACGTTAGTTAAGTGTTTATACAGAGCTTGACATAACTTTTTTTTTATTTGAGTACTAATTATCAATATAAGTAACATAACCTTTGTCAAGATATTTTCTCATGAATGTCATAAATATTTAACCAGAGATACCAAGTTCTGAGGTTCTCATTATTTCATTAGTATATCCAGTTGAAGGGTCATATGTGAGAAATAATTTGATTCCGTATCGATTGTTTTTCGAATGAACTACTATTCTCAAGATATTCAAAAATGATCGAGATTCATTATATTGTGATGTCGGCAGTAGTTGTGTTCCTTTACAATCCCTATCATTATCTGATAGATGGTGCTTACATGGATCAATGATGCGTACATATGTTTGTGAGAAATATTGAGTTTCATCCAAGAAGAATTCAGATTCGTTAATAGGAAAACACACAAATTTACAAAGAAATGTATTTAATGAGAATGATATGTATATCAATGTATATGTATTGTTAGAAACATCAAATTATATAGTTCTAACTGAAAATCTGACAAATTCAAGAAAGCTCATAAGAAAATATACCTGAGTCTCCTAGAATTATCTTTAAATGATCTAATTTCGCTGACAACTCTACATTGATGGGCATCATGATTATCTTGAATGTTCAGATTCATATTTTAAGAGTTATCAAAGATCATATTTTTGCCTTTTCCCTGCAAAACTTCTTTTGTATCCATTCATCTATATTACTTCTTTCGTCACATTTACACAATTCTATTGCAAGCTCCTAAATGACTTCTGCGTCAACAATTCTAAAAATTTCAGAAAAGATATGTCGTAGACAATACAACAAAAATGGAACTATAGTTGACATACTCAAGTGCTTTATTGTTGTCTAACAAAAGGTTTAGGTATAGAATGAAGTATTTGTATTTCAACTATACTTAAACTTTTGCTGTTTTGTCTACTATATATCCTTTCTGAAATTTTTAGAATTGTTGGCGAAGAAGTTATTAAGGAGCTTGCAATAGAATTTTATAAATGTGACGAAAGAAGTAATATGAATCAACATATATGAAAGGGCTTCTGCAAGGAAAATATGTGTTTTATATCAATAAATGCAGACTTTCGTAATTCTTTTTTCATAGGTTAGAGAATCTCTGTTGCTATGCTATTAACTTACGTGTTATAAACAATAGATAGTAACTGATAGAAGGTTTTAAGTGTGCATGATAAAATGTGAACAGAAGACATAAGTTATCTTTATAAGGTTTGTCTAATCTTCCTAATACTATAGAGTGTGATGAGAAAGAGGCAAGATACATTTCATATTAAATACTTCACGCAAATATGCTTTTTACTCACCGACAACGCTCATATTTCCGAAGCTGAATACCTTTGCATTAACATTAGACGATACCATCCGTAGTTGACCTTCGTTTAATTTTGCAGAGTATAATGAACACGTTTGATAAATGGTAAAATAGGTTACTGTCAAACACATCGAATTTCTAGTGCATTCACAAAGGCAGGCATTCTCAGTATTGATCGAGATGAGGATAGCAAGCACGTTGCGTATATTGAATGGATCAAATCGAGCATTTTTGTATACAATGACAGGCTTTGCCATTGATAGCCATACATCACAAACAAGAAGAAGAAATGTTACTCTCGAGAACATGTTGCTGAATGATACGAACTTTAATATGTCTCTTTTTTATTTTCATTTATTTCACGGTGTTGCAATGCATTAGACAAAGAAAATGAATTGATAAACACATCAACTCTTTCATAAGTAGAACAAGAAAAGAGGAACATTTTTTTGAGTAATTGCTGTTAGTATTCTCTGCCTCGAAAGGTGCTAAAATGAAATTGGTATTCACACAATTTCTCACTATTGAGAAGCACTAAACAAAAGACCTAACAAATTTTATTTTTATTGAATTTACACTTGCACACGAGCATTGTGTTTCTTCTGATTTATCACAATTTCACTTTACTAGCGTTGTAGTTTCCTTTCTTTTTTTTTGTTTAATTTCGCACATTTTTTGTAACATTCTCGCGTGCTTACAAAACACACAATATATAATTTATGGGGTGAATTGAGGATGTGAATGTATAAACCAATGAAGAATAATAAGGTATCGCGACCAGTTTTGATCTTGTTTAAGGATCTCTTCATATGATATAATCTTTATTGAATGCATTTACACCATTTATTGAAGGTTCATATAGCTACAAAATTAGTACAAAATTCTACAGAAGCATTTTTTGTACAATGATGAGTGAAGATATAGTGTTTCTGAGAGAAAAAAATGAGCATGAAGTTAAATAGAAACATTGTTAAACAATAACAAAAATAAAATTGCATAATCATTATTAGATTATGTCTTGAGTTATATTCGAATTTGATTAGATCGGTTACATACTTGTCATAGATGTAGTGTGATTGTCAAAATGCTACTCTGTAGCTTAGTGATATTGTGCAATTGTTCTATAGAACAATGAATGGATCTGTATTTTTCAAATCTCGATCTTGCATAAGGTTAACACAAGAGAAAAGCTAAACACACTAGAAGATTTTGTGAGTTCTGCATTCCAGGAACTCTAAAAAATTCGACGTTCCCTGCGAAGCACTAAGCCAAGTAGACATATTATAAAATCACTTCGCGTGATACATGTCTGAAAACCCTACGAAATTCATGGAGTCCATGGAACTGACAGAATTCATGAAATTTTGACTGTATGTTATCCGTCAGAACATTAGCCTTTTTACTTTCACCCGAACAGAAATCTTTTCTAGTGTATACATGATCTATTTAGCATAATTTACATTTGACTCTCAGAGAGATTGTTCAATTGATAATCACTAATTAAACTAGTTTTTGCACATTTTTAGACGCAAGTCTTTGATGAATTTCTACGGAAGTCGTTTGAAAAAATATTGTCCTGTTCCCGAGATATTTACGATTTTCTCAGAGAATTGTCTCCAAAAAAAAAACACTTTTTTTGTAACACTCATATTTCGTCAATGATACATTCTTTGGACTTGACGTTTCAATTGTGAATACATCTCAGAGTGAAGCGCTTTTGGTGAAAAAATGAGATCTAAAATATGAGCTGTCGATGAATTCATCAATATTAGCAAATATATGAAAAAAATCATTTTCGGATATTTTGTGCAAATACATATTTGAAGAAAGAGAGAGAGAGAGAGTCATACACGAGAGATAAATTTTTGATTATTGCGAGAACTAAGTACAAATTCATGTAAGAATTGACACTTAGGATGTTGTGAGGTAATCAGAGAGTCTTATTGAAATATAAAATAAGTTCGTATTCGATACAAATCAGCATATGATAGTTTATTGACTGAGATATATAACTTCTTTGAAAATGACCAAAAAACATTGTGCCTCCGCAATCATGCAGGGAGGTACTGAAACAAGTTCATCAAAGCTGTCTCTTTATTCTTTGCTAAATCTATCGAATAGAAATTTCAAGTAGCCAAGTGAAAATAGGATTTAGACTTCTGTATGATTTGAACATATTTCATGCCATTAGCAAAAAAAATTTATTCTTAAAATTTCCATAGCTTCCTTCAGGGTTCAGTAGTAAAAATTTTTTTGTCATTTTCAGAGTACTTCTATATGTCAGTCATATAGAATCACATGCTGGTTTATATTGCATAAAGCTTATTTCATGTAATGATTCTTTATTAATTTGTGAATGAATCTGAAATATTTTATGCATGGAAAAAAGGCCATATGAGGGCTTCTCTTTCAATAAAACTCTCTGGATCATTCCCAAATATTCCAAGTCAATTTTTATATGACTTTGTGATCCCTAGGTTTAGGGTGTGGTTGTATTCAGAATAATCCTAACCGGTTTTGTCTTTGCTTGAGAAACTAATCAGAGGACTCAATCTTGTTTGAATTTAAATTACAAAGAAAAAGAATGAGGGTGTGGGTGTGGTTTCATCTTATCTTAAATCACATTTACACTCGCACCCATGGGTGTGAACTCTTTTAGAGTTTTCTTAGTTTCACTGACTTCTACTCAGAGCTGGAAGATGAACTCAAACGGCGTCAGGCAAAAGTGTGCTTATTTATTCTCTTGTTCATCTATTTTCATCAAAAGGATTAGGATTAAAAAATTTTTCAATAAACAAAACAAAATTTAATTCTTTAAAAAGACACGCGCTAATGTTGCGTTTTTTAGCTTTCGAATTAATATAAATATTAGTTAATCTAGATTCTAATTCATTCATTAATCGGTGTTATCTCGGTTGCTATGTTGTTGCTAATAAATAGATTTTTCGTATCATATCCATTACTTTCGTTATTTTTCGTCGTGATTCTATTGATATATAATCATCATCAGCATTTTATGTCATCAGACGTTCATATTTATCGAATTATTGATTGAATACAGATGCATCGTTATCTATAAGAATAATTCTCATACATAATATGTAATTATTTACTCACAGTGCATAAGAAGTGGAAAGAGGTCTCCAAAATCCTTGCATATGTGCTTGATTTAAAGAGGTTATAATGTCAAGAGGGTCTACAAAAAAGTGTGGATGTTACAGTGATCTCGATGTTATAATTAAATGAACAAGACATGAATTGAGACAAGCATATGCGATTAATTCTGTTGTACTTTGTTTTGATTCATATGTTTTTCATGTACTATTTTAGATTGAGATTTTGAATGAACTTTTGAAGTTCGGAAACATTATTGCTGAAATCAAATTTTTTATAGATTGCTTTTCTAGAATGATTTTTATGTTCTTTACATAAAATAATGAAATATTTATCCATAAACTTTTCGTATTATCACTAAACATCTTCAAAGTTCTAAATATTATCTTATGAAAAGTTTACTCTTTAGTTTCAAAAACCGAAAATTTCACACTTAAGGAATTAAAAAATCTTTCGAATTAGTAAAATATAAGATTAACTCTATTTCGACATGAAGACAAAAATTCACACTGTTACATGTTTTTGGTTTAGTAGATATCTTCTTGGAGTATTTCCTAAGAATCACTATCAAACTTTCACACCACTATCTGTTGCCATGATTGTTATTGTTTTTTTTTCAGTATACGCCAAATAACTACAAAGTAGAACGAAAACATCAGAGAAAGATTTATGATAGCTTAACACATCCACTCACCTCATAATAAGCAAAGGAAAAATGCCTAGAAGTGCGAGCACAAAAAAGACCAGTCCAGGCCAGAAGCGAAGCGATGCATTGTAGATGGAATTCGATGCGGCATCGATCGCTTTGTCACCACCAGCTTCAATGAAGGCTGCAGCGATGAAAACAATAGCATATTCGTTAGGTTCTACTAGTCTACTCAATTTAGATCTTAGTACTGGCATTGTAATAAAAAATAAACTTCCAATAGATGCAGCTAAAACGAAATAGATCTAATTTTGTCAACGAAACATGAAATTTATTCAATAAACAAACCGATATAGAGTAACCAGGACCATCTGGCCAATCCAAAAAGAACAAGATCGCAGATAAGAGCAAGCAAACCGACAATGGGTAAGAAATAGGTTTTCTCCAGATACTGTGTTTTGAACAAACTGATTAACAGAGTGAGTACACAGGCGCTGATTGCATGAGTTGTTGCGAGCAAACCAACACGGAGTGCATCCAAACAAAATGGGCGTCCATAGGCGAAAAGGGCAAACACGGCTATATAACCAAATAGCATAAGCAAAACAAGAATATTAACAATGCTGATCAGAAGTAGGTGTTGTTGATTGTAGCCAGGACGTTTGATAAGAAATACCTGAATGCAACGAATTATTGGTTTCAGACGAATACGTGCCATTTGCTGGATAATCGAATCATTGCGGCTAAATATGGAAAAGATCTGAATATTTTTTGAAATAGGAAAAATGAAAGCGCCGCTTTTTTTTTCTCGACTGAAATTTCAAAGAACAACAAATATCTATTCAAATGACTGGCTAAGAATTTGGAAAACTTGTTTTAATAATATTTCGACATCAGGATCCTATCGAAAATTTTTTTAGAATATTGCTTTATGAAAGTCATTTAACATCATTCTTAACCAGATTGATCTCAAAAATCTACATTGTTAGTCGCCATCGTATAAAGCTGAATTACAATGGAATAATTTTCTTCAAAAGACGATTTAGATGGATAAGTTTCATTTAATTTATCCATGTTTCAAATCATCATCAAAACAATTTCAATCTTGTCTAGAAGTACGATCAATCAATTCAATGCGGTGTCGTATAAAGAATGAAGTATACTACATAGTTCGTAGTGAGCTTTGATGACTCTTCGAACATTCAAATACGATTCTTCATATGGATGCATCAGCGATTTTTCTTCAGTTTGGCCAAAATTCAGAGCTATGGAAAATAAAACTCCTTATATAACGAATGAAGTGTTTTCAACAAAGCGAAAGGACACTTGAATGATTTTGAAAAACATTTTCTCAAGGTCACTCATTTACTTCTCGGCATTTTCATATTCAGGTTCTCTCTAAATGAAAATAAGTGCCTCTTGAGTAAAACTCAAGCGTGTTTTTTATTGTCATCATCTAGTTATTTAGAAGTGCGACTCCAATGTGTATTTGTTGATTTGTGACAGATTATACAGAACTAGAAAAAGCATGATTTTTCATATTGGTATACGATCTATTTATTTATTTTCTAATTCACATCTAGGAGTATGAAAGAAGATATTTTCAAATAAGTAAAACTGAATATAAGAGTTTCTTACTACGACTATATGATTCATTCAGTAAGGACATGCTTTTTTTACACCGCTCTACAACATCAAAGTGGCAATGCAATGACATATTGAATTTATTATACTATTCTTCTTCATCTTTGGAGTTCATGCTTCACATGCTCTACCAGAAATATTTGCAAAGACAATGATATCCTTCATTCTCAGGATATTTCCTCATACAGGCGCACATATGCTTTGTAGATATTATTTTTGTTCAAGCATAGCTTTTCGTCGAAGACATTTATGTAAGATCTTTCATACAAGTAGTGTGACAATACATTCGAAGTCACACTACTACAAAAAAAAAATCTTATCTACGATTTTTTATTGAATTCTTTTGATAATAAATATTCGTGTTACTCAATCGTAATTCGAAAAAAAAGTAAATTCTCTTTAAATTGATATTATTTAAAACCTACATAGGATCTATCGATGTTTTTCATTCAAATCAGAAGTGATTTTTTCCTAGAACTATTAAATTGAAATAGAAATTAAGCGATGGCTTCAACGTTTTCTCTGACCAGAACTATATTTTTGAGTATTTCGGATGAATTTCAGCAAAAAGAGACAGATAAATGTAAAGGAATTCGGAAAATATGGACAAAATTGAAATAAAAGATAGCCTCTAAAAAGACTCACACACTTTGTACGGATTCAGGTTGTATGAACAGTACGTAGAGCATTCCAATGACACTCAATCCAAGGCAGACACTTGTCGGAACAGTGTAAAGAAAACGTTGCAACCATAAACCAACGGCAAGGACTGGAACGACGCGTGCCACTAGAGTGACCACTTCGGCTATTAAAAATGGTCGAGTCCTTTCTGATTCTCGTGTACAATCAGTGATAAAAGCTAAAGCACTCAACATGACGATGCCAATCGAGCCAAACAAGGCTTCACACACATGACCAACTAGTAACCATCCGTCAGAAAGATCACGAGCAATGATGATTAACATGATCACATATCGAGCTATTTTACCGATGAATGGTAAGAGAAGTAATGGACGTCGACCAATGGTATCACAGTTCGAACCTAGCAGAACAATGGCAAATAATGAGGGAATGAGTGTAGCAAATGAATTTTTAACATTAAATTTTGCGGCGTCCTGCTGTACGATGTCATAATCAGCCCCGTCTAGTGAATACTGTTGAAGGTACCAATAGCCAGGCGTCGAAGTCAACGACTGAAGACGACATGCAGTTCGTGGACCTTGTCCTAAAACGTCGAGTCCATAGTGACGTTCGTAGCGACGCACGATAAAATCGTTTATGAGTAGAGCGTCAGGTGCGGAAGCCAACGTGATGAACAATAAACAAGGTATAACGAGCCACCAACGAGGCATAGAAGGAGACAAATTAGAGATTTCCTTAGTTTTTTCCGCTTCGATTAAAGGTACTGTATTTGTCTTTATTTCAACATCATTTACTGTTCGACAGAACTGTTTCCTCACCTTGTTATTCTTCTTATTATTATTGACAATCGGAGTTGCCAGACGATACTGGCGAGTAACCATTACACAAACCTAAATTAACCTTGAACAAAATTATTACTAACATTACCATCACCAAGAGTACCAACACAAAATGTGCTCTTCTCAATACTTGAGTGTAATGGCCCAAAGCGAAAAAAAAGAATAAAAAATAATTTTGTTCTTGAGATGTATAACGACAGGAAGAAAAAAAAAAGAAGAAGAAAAATTTAAAAGGTAAGTTCTTGTCGATCACCAAAAGTAGACATTCTACAACACGTGAAGATGCAAATATACATGTACAAGGACAAAAAAATACTGTAGTAGTCAAATGTATTGCATTCAATGGTGTTATAATAGGTAATGCTACGTATATAAATGTTGTACTAATTAATTTTTCTCTGCTCGTAGGCAACATTACTCTTTTACATTTGTATAAGAAGAATCTTATGTCAAAAATACATACTCAATGATATAATATAATTTTTTTTAAATTATGGTTGATAATGTTACATTCAGCCGAAAGAAAAAAAAATCAAATTATATCATCTTTGAATATGTACTCTTGACATACGTTTCTTCTTATACAAATATAAAAGAGTAATGTTGTTTACAAGCAGAGAAAAATTATTTAATACAACATTCATACATGTTGCTTTACCTATTATAACACCTTTTGAATGCAATGTATTTGAGTGCCAGACTATTTTTTTGTCCTTGTATGTGCTTATTTGCACTGTCACATGTGATGAAATGTCTACTCTTGCTGATCGACGAGAACTTACCTTTTAGTTTTTTTCTTCTTCGTTTTTTTTCTTCCTGTCGTTATATGGCTCAAGAACAAAATTTTTTTTTTCTTTTTTTTTCTTTAGACCATCGCACGCAAGTGCTGAGAAGAACATATTTTGTGGTATCGTCTGGCAATTTCGATTGTCAATAACAATAACAGCAATAACAAGGCGAGAAAAAAGTTCTGTTCAAACAGGAAATGATGCTGAAATAAATGCAAATATACTATGAGGATGGGTATGTGGGTATGTAGCTGTGGGAGAAAAGAACAGCGGTTCCCACATCCGCACCCCTAATCAAAAATGTATGATTGTAGCAGTTTGAAATAAAAAATATTATCTTCGACTTTCTAAATACATGTATGGATATTAATTTTGGCGTAATATTTGGTATCATGAAGAATTTCTTTTTCTTCATCTCTTTGTTAATTTTAATTATTGATTTAGAGCGCGTACTTTTCAAATTGTTTCTATTGTTCGAACAAGCTATCTTACACAAAAGAAATATGTCAATTGAAATTCTTTTTTAAAAGCATATGTACATCATACACGAAGAGTCCTTAGCTTGGACATATGCAAGTGGACTAAGGAAAAAAGAATAGGGAAGAAATAGAGAAAGAGAAAGAACGAAAAACTATGGCAATTCTTGCTGGTGACTTGAGTGTACACATCTGTGAAAATTAAACTTTAATGCTCAGTGATGTATTTAAAAAAAACAGCTTTTAATCGTAATTTTTTATGAGCATGATCACCATAAATTATGATAGTGTGGAACAATGTCAAACAATATTTATTCTGCAATATCAACGAGACACATCTCATATATTGTTTCCTTTCTTTCTCAAAAATGTCAAAAAAATTTTTTTTTCCCTCCTCATAATACGCCTAGTTGACATCGAATGAATAATATTTCAATCTGTCAAGAAAGAAAATCTCAAAATCATCTGATGCAGTTGCTATGTCGCTTGAACAACTCTTCGTTATTTCTCAATATCTACGTGGGTCTCTTTGGCTGACATCATTGGTTCGATCGATAACGTACTAAATATTATAACGTTTATTGATCTAAAAAAATATCACATGCTTCCAAGTTCACTATTTCTGGCTGAAGCCTTCTTAGGTGAGCAACTAGCAATTATCTATCTTATTGTTCCACAATCTTTTACTCCCGCAACGGCTTATGATATTCGAGTTATGCCATCTGCTGCTCGTAAATTAAGTTTTCTTCTCTACACTGGTGGTGTATTCGTTGTCTTGAGTTTCTATTTGGTTGACATCGATCGTTATTTACAAAGATGCCGATCAACTGTTAAACAACAATAGATGACATCGAACAGAACTCGATTTTTTTTTAGTTCTATTCAATATCATCCATTGTGGGTGTGGATGTGAATGTGAGGTGTGAATTTGGGTGTCTATTTTCTCTTCATCAACACCCACATCCACTCACACGCACACACTCATACCAGGACGCGAATTTGCGTCTCCCGTACTCAAAGAGTTAAATGATTGGTTGCAATTCATGTTGCATTTTATAGTTCATTTACCAGTTGATTGGCATCCTGACAATCGTTATCTTTCGATGAAGCGTGCTCTAAACAGAAAACTAATAGAAGTTATTTTTCCTTCATCCTCGATTTTCATATGCATTTGATTGTGCCATATTATTTTAGTTTTTAAAGTCCTTTCTTAGAGCATTAGAGAGACTCATTCTATTAACATGATATAAAGCAACACAGATTTTCAAGGTTATTACTGTATTAGTTAGCATTCCAATGAAAAATAGATCATCTCATTGTTTTACGCAAACCATAAATCCAAAACCGTCGAAAGCTGTGCGCTGGGGAATATAGTTTGGTGGACACCGTCGTAAACCTGGATCAAAGCCATCACAGGAGGGACCATTGACTGACCCTTCAATTTGCATTCCACAAAGCGTCCCAGGCAAGTCCCTTTCCACATTCGTAGCTGCACACACTGCATTTACGATGCAGTAGACTGGGTTATAAGGGTGGTCAGTGCAGATTTCGCTTGTTCCACGAAATTGTTGATAATTTGTCGGGCATCCGTCCGTGTACACATTCGAGCTACTTTGGCAACCTATATTAAGATTAAAGTTATATTTTGACTGATAGGAGTGAAGTCCACAAATTGTTCCGTGGACAGGAGTGCCGATCGCTGTTCCAGTTTTATAACAAACAGTTAAATCAGTGGGCCAGCTTTTCTGAGCCCATCCGGTTGGACATCTGTTCCATGGACGTAGACCCTTGCAGTTAATTTGCATAAATGAACGATCGAATCCACATATAGTGCCATGCAATATCTTGTAAGGCTCTACGACGGCTGTTTGACAGTCATTACCAGTCCATCCTGGATTACATTTGCAAATTCCAAATTGGAAAAATCCCGTTGGTTCACAAATGCCACGAGTACCATTACCACCACAACTGCCATAGCAGTAGACAGAACCATTCATATATTTCTCAAATATTATTTGTATTAATTTCGATTTGTTTGCTATCAAAGGATCATTTGGAAAGTAGCGTTTCGTAAAAAGACGAAAAATATCTCGAATTTGTCGCTTGATTATAATAGGGTTGCTTGGAACTGATTTGGACCATTCGGTAAAACTGCTTAAATCAGGAGCACCACCAAACGTAGATCTCTGCAATGATTTCACTTCTTTCATGAACATATTGTAGTTGGATTCATTTTTCGACGTGGTCACACTGGTGCTAATTCCAATAGAACCCTTTGATAAGTCAAAGGCCAATTCTGCTTGATGTTTTGTTTGTATACCGTTTTGTTCTAGTCTTTCTTTTGTTTCTCGGTCAATAAAGATATTTTGTTGAGCTACGCCGCCAAGCAGTATACTTGTAATGTAAGCAACTCCAAAGTAGTCGGAAATGAAGTCTTTAGCGTATTGTTCTATATCCGGATCATCTTCTTCACAGCAAAACATGTTTTCAATAACGTATCGAAAATTATCTGATAGTTCCATTTTGGGTTCAAACATTGATAGTTTTACATATGAGATTTCAACTGAAGTAAACTAAATAATTTTACGCTACAATAGCTCAAGATACAGAACCTATCACAAACTTACTATAGAGGTTTGATTTCTCTTGACTATATTGTCAAGCATATGTTGGGTTTCCTTTGAATATGTATACGAGAAGCTGATATCTTTGAATTTCACCCCCATGGAAACGTCAACTTTGTTGGAAACAGATGTGTATAGCTGTTCAACTGTCTCAATTATTTCACTAATAACTGCTTGTTTACCAGATGGTGTGCAGTCTAAGTCAACGTTGTTTGGCACTAACTTATCAGTGCATGAGCCTGGAACTGGTGACGAATAGTTAAGTTTGAATATCGAACGAGTAAATTCGTCCGTTTGACATGCACCCATGTAACATACGGGAGACGCAGCGAGTATATTGTAACCAAAACCAATTTTATTACTATTTTCCAACCAATTAAGTTCCTCCAAGGATCGAGTAGTAGCATCAGATTGTCGAAGATAATTTCTCACACGTTCAATAATTTGACGCCGTTCCTCACGTAGAGGAGATAGATCGACAGAGAGGAATAGCAGAAGAGCAATGAAAATTCGAAGCATTGTTGCAATAAAAGAAAGACATTTTTCGTGGATATTTATACTAGTGATTAATAACATGAAGTAATCCAGCCAAACTTGATTACTTTGTTTGCCAAAACGTATCATGTTTCTTAATGATACTATTTATAAATAATGACAAATATTAGTATTGGATTGTCTCGAACCTAATGTCGTCGTTATTATTTTCTTATTTTCCTAGCATCTCAGTAGTTGCTTCGGATCAATTTCCTTATCTTAATATTTGTTGAATAAATATTTTTGTGTCAGTCGTCCACAATGCGAGGAAAATTTATCTATGTGACACCATTACTACGTAATGTGAGCTGATTAAATACAGACGAATCCTACATAAGCCTAATGAAACAAAAAGTGACTCGTCAATCTTAGTGTAAATGAACAAAGAAAAATAATATGCTTGGTCACAAATCTAACAAAATCATGCATAATATTGATACAATGGCGACTGATATGACTTCCGTCGCAGGTATATTTTAAATAGTTCCTTTCAAATTCATCACGATGTGTCTCTACCTCGTAGATGATGATCATTACCCGTCTACAGAATAAGTTTTAAATATAAGGTGCTGTCATTCCTGGATGGGTGTGGGTGTGTGAGGTGTGGGTGTGGGTGAGGGTGTGGGTGGG